AGAAAGGGGGTCATGTCATCATTATTTCATCTTTGAGGCTTTTACTGGCTAGCCATACAGTGGAGTACTTTGAGGCATTGGAGCATTGTCTTGCATAAATATCATGGTCTTCTTGAAACATGCAGACTTTCTTGTACCACTGCTTGAAGTACAGTGGTCTTCTAAAAACTGGCAGTAGGTTTTGGGAGTTGATTTTGAGTCTATCTTCAACCCGAAAAGGTTCAGTAAGCCCATACCAGTACCCCATCTCCACCTTGCTGGTGTCTGAGTCGAAGTGGAGCTCTGTGCCCTTTACTGATCCAGCCACGGACCCATCCATCTGGTCTGTCAAGAGTCATTCTCATCTCATCAGTCCATAAAACCTTTGAAAAATATGTTTTCAGATATTTCTTGGTCCAGTCTTAACGTTTTTCTACATGTCTTGTTCTTGTGTCTTGTTCTGTGGTGGTCGGGTTTCAGCATCCCTTACCTTGGCCATGTCTCTGAGCACTAAACACCTTATACTTCTGGGCACTTCAGGTAGGTTGCAGTTCTGGAATATGACATCACTGGAGGATAATGGGTTCCTGGTAGCTTCACATTTGATTCTTCTCAAATCCTTGGCAGTTAATTTGCATCTTTTTATCTGAACATGTTTCTTGCAACCCTGTTGACTATTTGGAACAAAATGTTTAATGGATCTGTGATCTCACCCCAATATCTTAGCAATTTCAAGAGTGCTGCATCCTTCTGAAAGACCTTTTACAATTTTTGACTTTTCATAGTCAAGTAAATCTCTTTTTAGCCCATTTTTGCCTGAGGAAAAGCAGCTGCCTAATAATTATGCACACCTTGACATAGGGTGTTAATCTCCTTAGGCCACACCTTCCCTCATTACACATCACCTGATATGCTTAAATCCAATAAGCATTCAAGTTTATACAGCTTGACCTTGGACAGTATGCATAAAAATGATGATTTGGTCAAAATACTCACTTGCCTAATAATTGTGCACACAGTGTATATTTTATATTCAGTGCTCAGTATAAGCGTCAATGATAAATACACTAAACCCCCAACAGCTGGAAACAGCTTACACCCCCCAGAGAAACAAAACAAGGAAAATATATTTCTAATTTTCAGTTTGTGTAAGTGCATTTTGTATAAGAATATTTTTTTAAATAAAATACTACTCCATGAGTTTTACAGTTAGAGACAAATGGCAAGTCACTGCGTATGTTAAAAAATCCATGTATGTTTAGGTGGGCTATGGAGGATCCTTCTGTGGCTGGGGCTGCTTTAGCAGCCACCTGCTGATCAGAACGCTGAGGACCAGAACTAGGAGCTCAGAAACCACCGTGGGACTCTTCGGACCGGTGATGATGTCACACCAGGTGCGGATCTCCACTAGGGGTTTTTGTAACAGGGTTTGGAGCGTCAAACCATACAGATACATGGAAGAGCGACAGTGTTTGCCGCTGGAGGACCTCCATAGCCCATCAAAATCTACATGGGGTTTTTAACATGATGAATGATGTTTTATCCCATAGTTAGTTGCCACTTGTCTTTAACAATAAATACCTTGGTTTTAATAGCACACTTAGCTGCTGCCCCCCATTTGTATGTTTTACTATTTACAGATTTACTTCATCTGAGAGTGGAGCTGCCACTAAGATTACAAGCCTATATTGGACTTTTATATACCTGATAGGTGGCGTATTCAGTATTTTTTTTACTGTTTTTTGTCTGGTTGGCCAGCCTCTTTAGTACCTGTCTTTTTAGAGCACTCCTTGTGCCATTCATTTGTTTTTATACACCATGAGGTTTGCCTTCTCTGTAATATTTCTTGGAGCTATATAGGTGCCTGTGGATGTCTGAAGAGAAATTTTATGGACTGTATATAACATGCTATCTATGACCCTATGAGATCCAAGGGTCGCTTTGTCTGATGAGAGTCCATTTACATGCCAGTGTGACACAGTGGTGGATTGAATTGATGGGAAGATTTTGTTGCATATGCAGTTAATCCTGATTTGGGGTTTTTTGCACTTAGTATTTATGTAAGCAGAATTTCACATTCCCAATTTTTTTTTTGTTTGTTTACTACACAATGGATATTGCTATTTTGTGATGTTCTATACACTTCTGTGAGGAAACAACAGAAGAACAGCTGATGTGCATACTGAGAAGAGGGATAATGACACCTGATGGCTGCATCATGCTTGATGTGACCCATTTATTCACAAGGGTATGATTATTTGGTGACAGTCCAGCTTTTATTTGATTATTTCATGGATGTGATATTGGAGGGACTGGAAGAGATACCTGCAGAATTGATGATTTCCAGTGCACTATTTTGGACACTTAGTGGTTGTAAACTCTTACACATACCAATTGAAGTGACTGGCCTCAGGTGATACACAGAGCTGAAACAAATCTTCCTACATAAGTTGTACCTTTTTTTTTTATTTGCAGTCTTCTCTACATCCAGTCAAAGTCCAGAATTTATACAGCTTTTTTGAGAGTTTAGAAAAAAAGGAGGTGAAGAGCTGAAATTACACACTGCAGAGGTCAGTGAGGAGAACTCTGAGAGCTTATTGGAGGTAAAAGAGGCACCCCCCTCCACAGAGCTCACAGGAACACAGCTGAGGCTGTCAATCTGCTGGAGATTCCTCCTCTGTCACCATTTTTCTTTTGGTGTCAGAAAAAACTGTCAGTGATTTATGCGGATAGCAAAAGAACAAAGCAGCAGACAGAATTGACACTTAGGGGTGATTTGCTGAAGGCAAACAGACTGTGCAGCTGCAAAGTGCAGTTGCTCCAGAACTTGGTAAACAAGGTAAATTTTCACTTTACAAGGAATACCCAGTCATTTACAAGTTAAAAACCAGCATTTTTGCGTGCACATGATTGGATAATGAAAGTTAGCAAAGCTTCTATACATTTACTAAGCTTTGGAGCAACTGCACTTTCCAAAGTCCACAATCTATTTGCCTTCAGTGAATAAACCCCTTAGTGCTTGTAAATGAGAAAGTACACACTATGGAGGGATATGTTTTGTTCATATTTCATGTCTGGAGGTTTACAACCACTTTAATGTTGACATATTATAAGGGTCAATCCTTAACGTATACATAAAGGCAAAACTTTCTTTTAGTTTTGGATAGAGTGGAAAGGGATTAGAGCACCTGTCAGGTTTTATTGCTTCAGAGAAAAGGAGGGGGAAACAGACTGGTGGTGGTGGTTCGCAGTCTAGCTACAGTCAGCTGTGTTAGCAGGACACTAATTCATTTCATCCTATACCTCTGGGTTTGTTTCCTCTGTTTATTTATTGTATTATCATTTAAAGGTGTTTTTATACGTGTGTGTATGTATGTATATATATATATATATATATATATATATATATATATATATAATATATATATATATATATATATATATATATATATATATATATACATACATACCTTTCCATGTGTACATGGTGGCAGCCCATTGTTTAATAATCATTTATAGCAACTTTACTGTCATCTCAGCATAGCTCCCAATACACCATCCAATTCTAATTACACAGATTTACTATTCCATCCTCAGCAAGTGTAGCGCTGATTTCTGTTGCTTTTGTTTATAGCTAATAGTTCAGGTTTTATTGCTGTCTGTGTCCTCGTTATGGATATTCACCCTATTTGTTCTGTTTGCCATTATCATCAAAAGGAACCCAAAACTTATAAAGTCCCCTCTGGGTCCTCAAAATCACTCCACTCCACAAGTGGGCTTTTATAATATGTTGAAAAATGGCTTGGGAGTCCTTGGCAAAAAGTCCACAAGAACATAAAAAGCTAGATGACAATCACATGGGAGAGAATGGAGAGGCACTGTTGGGCGGCAGGAGGGGTGGGGGGGGGGGGGGGGGCGTCCTCTCCTGCTGCCTGTTAAAGCAATCCAGCAGCTAATCGGCTGCTAGATCGGCTTTTACATTGCAGGGAATCGCCGGCTGAAAAAGCATATCTGGATGATGCCTGTAATTGCATTAACCACATCCCCGCCACTCTATAGCAGATTTACTGCTACAGTGCAGCCAGGGTGTGCAAAATCACGGCTCTCATTCATTGAGTCCTGGCCAGTGATTACCCACCAGCGCAGGTGATTACTGAGGATCTCTGGGGAGGAGGGAGGGGCTGCTTTGTTTCTTAACAGTTCTCCTTCCTGTCGGCTGAGGCACACTGCTCTGGATGGCTGTGCACAGTACAGCCATCCAGAGCAGTGTGCTTACAGTGAAGCACCACCACACCGCCCCCAGTAAAACACTCCCAGCACACAGTTAACCCTTTGATCGCCCCTCATGTTAACGCCTTCCCGCCCAGTGCCATTAGTACAGTGTCAGTGCTTTCCCCCCAGTGTCAGAATGCCCGCCACAGTCCCACTAGAAGTCGCTGATTGCTGATTAATTTACACGTATTGGGATTTTTTTTTTTGTAGCAAAGACATAGCAGAAAACATTTTGGCCCAAATTTATGATGGAATTTTATTTATTTTATTTTTTTTTTTACTGGCCATGTTTAATAGCAAAAGGTCAAAAATATTTTTTTCTCAAAGTTGTCGGTCTTTTTTTTTTTTTTTTTTTTTTTTCTTTATAGCACAAAAAATAAAAATGCACAGGCAATCAAATACCACCGAAAGAAAACTCAATTCATGGGGAAAAAAAAAAAAAGACATACATGTTATTTGGATGCAGTGTTGCGTGACTGCGCAATTGTCAGTTAAAAGAACGCAGCGACGTAATGCAAAAAATGGCCTGGTCAGGAAGGGGGGTAAATTCTCTGGAGGGCAAGTGGTTAAAGTCCCATTTTCTTTTCTTCTATGATTGCTTTCCATAGTACATTAAAAAAAAAAAAAGCAAAATGATTTTTTTTTTTTTACCTGCCTTTAATTATACCGCTTAATGCAATACAATTGATACTTTCAGTGATGGGAAAGGCTTTCTTTATGTATGATCTTTTTTTTTTTTTTTTCTCTAGAATGACTGGAGCCTGCCACAAAAAGTGTGTTCCTCCTCACTATAAGGAACCAGAACTGTCTAAAGGAGAGAGTGTTTGCCTGGACCGCTGTGTCTCCAAGTATATGGATATTCATGAGCGGTTGGGCAAGAAACTCACTGAGCTGTCTATGCAAGATGAGGAACTGATGAAGAAGATGCAACAGGGAATGGGGCCTGCACAATAGCTTTTCAGATTTTGGAGCTTTATGAATATGTGAATACATATTGTATATTAGGCCTCATGATCAAAATGGTCCTAAAAAGATAAACTGTTTGTGTTATAAACAACCAATTAGGTTATGTCTTTTATTTTGTACCAAAATATGAATGCATCCACTTGTTATGGACAACAGAACCTGGTCCTTTTGGGTTACTTTTGATACATATGGCAGTTTGTATTTTATTTCTGTTTTCAATTTTACTTTGTGACATCTTCGATAAAGAGATCATGTTCAGTATTCATTGCAACTTTTTTTTTTTCTTTAATCTAAAATAACCTGTATTCTAAATTTTGAAAAGCAAAAAGTAACCAAAGGAATATGTGTTTGGGGCTCAACAATACAAATGCTGTACAGAGGAAAGACCCAATGCAATTGATGTTGCAGTGGCAGGAAACCATCGTCAGGAGGGCTGCAGCTCAAAGCGATTGTTTGATCAGTCTGTCAGTTTTTGGCTGTGCAGACAGAACACAATACAATAGTAATAAAGTGGCAGTAAACTAATGGTAGGGGATCTGTAGTGTACAGTGAATAATAATCAGTCTGAAAATGTCAGTTTGTGGCTGAATCAAACCACACTTACAAGTCCAAGCACCAGAGAGCAGAAGCCATCAAGGATAGAGAAGGTTACACTGTAATTCGCAGCTCCTGTAAACCAGATCTGGGTAGGATCCAATTCAACATATGAAGAACTGTGATCAAAGCTCTGAATTAGTAAAGTGTAACAGAGTTTATTTGTAAACATGATATCCTCACTTACATCAAGGCAAAAAAAACAGCAGCTTCCAGAGTAGAAGAGCACAATTCACTAAACGTATATCATAAACGTGCAGCGCTGTAAACTCATGAAACATAAGTATCCTATATCATACTCGAATATTTAATGTGCAAACGAGTGCGTGAATAGTGCAATCAAATAAATCACTGAGAGTCCGTGATGACCACGAATATTATACAGCAGGCAGTGAAAACTGCTAATGTTATTTATCCAAGTTTGCAATTGCAAACGTGCGGTTATTGATGAAAATCCACCGCCTCAGATGGATGTACACTCACCAGACTGCAAGTAAATCAGCGCATCTGTTTATATCACATATCTGGGGGTATAATGACAGCTCCGGATTTACTCCTGCAGCTCCTTCCATCCATCAGTTGGAGCAGGTGTCATCTAATCCAAGATGGCCACCGCTCCTTGGTAGCGGTGGCGTGACGTCAGCAATGTAGGCTCCCAACGCGTTTCGTGTGACAGCACATCTTCATGGGCATACCCAGGGTGGGTGGTGGAAACATCCTGATAAAACCAGAATTGAGCTGGGTGGCTGAAATGAATATAAGGAGCATAGACAGAGAGATAACTCTGGAATCTGCAGAGAGAAGGAACTAAGGGCGGCATGGACTGGAGAAATGAGGCTGAAAGGAAGGACAGTGGCAACAGTAATAGCTGAGCAGCCAAACTTGAGCCAAACTCTATGGAAGAAGCAGACTGGTCCAAGGAATTAATGCATAAAAGAACAATGGGTGAGAGGGGGACAGTGGGGGGATGCATGGACCTGAGAAATGAGAACAGAAGGGAGGGCAATGGATAAATGAACCAGAGAGGGGAGGTTGAGAGTGGCAGAAGGGACACCAACAGTGGCACAAAATGAAGAATACAGAGTGGTAGGTAAGGGATAGGTGACCAAGAGAGCTGTTATGATCCTAGAATGAAACCGTTAAAGAAGAGAAGAATTAGGAACAAGAGTAGCATGAGATGATAGTTGTGAGATGGTAGAAGGACGATGCTGTCAAATCTTGAGCTATTGCAAGTTGTCAACATAGTTAGGAGTTAGTGAGTGGAATTGAAGTAACTGGCGGGGGTGTGGAATGAGAGATGGCAATGAAGAGAGCCGTACACTTGTGGTGCTAACAATGTGGACTATTATGGATTAAATTGGACCAAATAATAAACATTTAAAAAATGAGAAAATACAACTGTAAATGCAATTTGAGATAAGAACTGAACCAATGGAACTTTGGGCAGTGGAATTACATTAAATTGGATAATCCACTGGATTTGAATGAATAATGGGATTTTATCAAACATCCATACACATACATTTCTCTGTACACATGCTACATCTGTGGCACCTATGGACACCTCTACACCAGTACAGTTTTATCTTTACATGTTTGCAAGGCTGTATGTGCAAATAAAGCTCAAACTAAATCCACAACCAACGTATATAAGTTTTGATTTATACACTGCTCAAAAAAATTAAAGGAACACTTTTTAATCAGAGTATAGCATCAAGTCAAATAAACTCCTGGGATATTGATCTGGTCAGTTAAGCAGCAGAGGGGGCTGTTAATCCGTTTCAGCTGCTTTGGTGTTAATAAAATTAACAACAGGTGCACTAGATGGGCAATAATGAGACAACGCCAAAAACAGGAATGGTTTTACAGTTGGAGGCCACTGACCTTTTTTTCCCCTACTCATCTTTTCTGACTATTTTCACTAGTTTTGCATTTGGCTAGGGTAGTGTCACTACTGGTAGCATGAGGCAATACCTGAACAGGCACAGGCAGTCCAACTCCTCCAGGATGGCACATCAATGCATCTCATTGCTAGGTTGGTGGTGTGGGAGTACCATGGAGCTGTTCCTGGATACTGAGAGGGTCCTGTGAGAGAGGCCTGGAGTTGCCTTGTATGCTGACTGTGTGCCAGATGATTCCACCATCCTTGCCTGTACCCAGATGACTACAAGGGATAATATATATACAGTACATGCGCTTTATTATTGCGCTTCCAGTTCCAGTCACGGATTTCACTAGCACGGATTCCACTGATTTTTTTACTTAAATATTATTGACCAAACACCAAAGTCACTTTTATTTATATATTTATTTATTGATTCACTTATCCATACGTCAGGTCATGACGATACACTGTATATTTTTATATCACTTTTTAGCGAAACCAAGCGCTCACGTCAGTCACCTCATGTTATTTTAGCGCTGCATTTTATCTATTTTAGGTAGATTACAAACTGGGAGGCACAGTTGCATTGGGCCAGGTTGGTGGAATGGACCATTTTGAAACCATAAATCATGAACATCATACAAGAACCGTATCTGGAACTGTTGTACATCTGCATCTACTTGAAGATGAAGCCTTTTCTGGCACTTTTTGTTTACATGAAACAATCAGTATTTTTTGGTAGAAAATTTCTTAGAACCCTCAAAAAATATATATATATATATATATATATATATATATATATTTTTTTTAGAACAGAGGCCCTAGAGAATAAATGACTGGGTTTTGCAATTGTTTTAAGTCACACAGTATTTGCACAGCGGTTTTGCCAAATGCAATTTTTTGGGGAAAAAAAATACACTTTTTTGAATTTTAACCACTTGCCCTCTAGAAGATTTACCCCCCCCTCCTCACCAGGCCATTTTTTGCTATTCAGAGCTGCGCTATTTTAACTGGTAATTGCGCGATCGTGCAATGATTTACTCAAATTTATGTCCTTTTTCACACAAATAGAGATTTGGTGGTATTTGATTACCTCTGGGTTTATGTTTTGCACTATAAACAAAAAATACTGCATATTTTGAAAAAAAAATTAATTGGTTTATGTGAAAGTTATAGCGTCTACAAGCTTTATTTCCTCATTATACTTCCTGACTACCTAACAGAGTACAACACCCCTCCCCCCAAATGACCCCCTTTTGAAAAGTAGACACCCCAAGGAATTTGATAAGAGGCATGGTGAGTATTTTGCAGATCTTGTTTGTTGCCAGAAGTTTTTGGAAAATGAAGAAAGAAAATGAAAATGTACTTTTTCTTTTTTTCTTCAAAACCTTGTGAGAAAACATGAGATCTGAAAAAATACTCACCATGCCTCTTATTAAATTCCTTGGGGTGTTTACTTTCCAAAAAGGGGTCTTTTTGGGGGGGGGGGGGGGCGTTGGTGCTATCCTGGCATTTCAGGCCCTTTGGGGGGTTGGTGCTATCCTGGCATTTCAGGGCCTCCGAAACTGTGATAGGTAGTGAGGAAGTGAAATGAGGAAGTTCCACACCTTCAGGCTTTCAAAGGGGTCATTCGATATCAGGCTTCTGTAGTATTCCCATACACAGTAGTACTAGAATGTATTTTGGGGTGTAATTCCACATATACCCATGGCATATGTGAGCACTATATAATTTAAGTGACAACTTTGTTTTTTACCATAAGTTTTTGGAAAATGACAAGAATTTTTTTTTTTTTATTACACAAAGTATTCCGTTGAACAACATACCTCTCAACAAATAGTCTGGGGTGTCTACTTTCCAAAAAGAGGTAATTGGATTTTAGACTCCCGTAGAATCCCCATAGTCGGTTAAAGTACCAGAATGTACTTTCGAGTGTAATTCCACATATACCCATGGCCTATGTGAGCAATATATCACTTACACCATTTTTTGCTATACAACGCTGCTCTAGTTTACCTGATAATTGTGCTGTCATGCAATGCTGTACATAAATTAAGTTTAGGTAATTTTTTCCCCATAAATAGAGCTTTCTTTTGGTGGTATTTCATCACCTATGGGTTTAGTTGTTGCACTATAAACAGAAAAAGACAGAAAATTTAGGGGGGTTTTTTCAAAATTTTCTAATTTTTGTCATAAAAAATATCCAATAAACTCAAATTTCCTCATAAATTTAGGCCAAAATATATTTTGCTACATGTCTTTGGTAAAAAAAAATCCCAATAAGTGTATATTAATTGGTTTGCTTGAAACTTATAGCGTCTACAGACTATGGTATAGATCAGGGGTGGGCAAACTTTTTGACTTGAGGGCCGCAATGGGTTCATATATTGGACCCGGGGGCCGGACCAAGAGTAGAGGAATGATGTGTATGTGTCATCCATAGTAAGTATAGTAATATTCCCCCATAGTAAGCATAGTAATTAATCCCCCCATATAGTAATTCATCCCC